AAAAAAAATCATTTTCATTAATTATATAGTCCTATCATGTACTGCATAGCTAACAGGGATGTATTTACAATGGAGCCAGAGAACAATCTACAAGTGAAGATAGAGGAGTGAAAGCAAACATGAGACCAGCAGTGAATTTGAGCCATTGAACGGCGTGAATTTGTTCATCGAGATTTGCACAGATCAGGTAAAAATGCTCGGGTTAATTGATATCAAATACAATATTAGTAGTAGCATACGTAAATTCATTGCATCGAGTTTCCATTTATGAAAATTATATACTTGTCATGACTTCAATAAAAAAATCCATGGGCTGGTCATGAGAAGGGTCATGTCGAAGACTAAAAATTAATGAACTTGTTCACTATTTAAAAAATAAACTTTTAGATAATGTTTTTTAAGGAAGAGTTGGAGGTTGTGAAAATCACCTCCTCCGAGAGCCAAATTGTAGTAAAGATCGATAATGTTAGAACAACTGCAGTGAACATAGCTTGGCAGTGAAATGAGAGTCGACGAGGGTGTTTAATCAGATCCTGACGGAATTTCTATCGACCTACACGAACTCACGAATTCATCAGCCACAAGTTAATTGCAATCACTTCAGATGTCTCACCACTAGAAATCCATAGTTCATCCGTCACGCGCCTGCCATGTAATGTATAGATATAACATGTATAGATATTAGGCAAAGATCTTATGTTTGAATCTTGGTAACGCGATAGAAATTCATGAAGGATAAGATGGGTTTAGGCTTTCCCAGAGGGGATAGTATGTACGTTAACGCCTAGGGCATAGAGACTCGGGTCATAACAAAGAAATGCACATTTTTGTAACAACCCGATCTCTATGCCCAAGCCGTTAACTTGAACTATTAATTCTAGAAGAGTCTAAACCCATCTTATCTTTCATGGCTTTCTATCGCTTCCCAGGATTCGAGCACAATTTTTTCCTTAAGAGATACTTACGTTGAATCCAGGTAGATGTCTTGCGTTCGAATCATGGAGTTGCAATAGAAATTTGTGAAAGGTAAGGTCGGTTCGAGCTATCAAGAGCAGATAGTGTTGGAAATTTACTTATCATGTACAGAAATAAAACGAATTTCAATTCCAATCAGGATTCATCTTTGTGTTTAAACACAAATTGTGATAAAAGTTATACCTTTTTCTAGATCTGCAAACTCCTTTGCTTTATCTTTGTTCCAGCAACTTGGATCTGCCTCCCACAACTGCCCAAGTGTCCAGCCTCCAATGAATTCCACACAAAGAACAGATTGTAGCCACCAGGGTTTTCTTTTCTTGTGCTAACAAGAATTATGAGAATCTCTATGAATTAAAAACCCTAGTCACGTATTTATATTAGCCCAAATGGGTTTGGTCTCACCCGATTCAATATTTAATTAACTCATTTAATTAAATCTGATCCGTGAATTAATTAATTCAATTAATTAATTCGAGCCTATAAATAACCAATCCAATCAATTAATTTATCCAACGATTGTTAAATTAATTAATTGACAAATTACAATCTTCCAATTCTCTTTTGTGT